CGAACGTAGCTGCTACGGGGTTCCTCATAACACTATTATGATAACAACGGAAACAACCTGAAAAGCCGCTCCATCCAAATTTAACAAGTAATTTAAATGGTTGGGCCTAACAAATTTTGCCTTTAAAAGTCTTTCGTCCTTGTACCAAAAACCCGACGAACGCCATCGGTATCACATGTACGTTGAACTCCTCGGTCCCTGTTTTTCAACGACAAGCAAGATAAAGGAATTCCACCAGCATCTTGAACACACAGGAGCTCGTAAGCCACCCAAAAGAGGTGCGCACTCGAGTCCTCGACTACCATGACGACTCTTAAAAACCAGCCCCGCGTCTGAGCCAAGAAATGTCGACCACATAATAGGTAATAATGGTACAATAATGAAATAAATCAATATCTAAACTTTTAATTGTCAAAATACGACGAACGTGGGAAAATGGAGTCGTTGGCATCGCGTCGACTCTGCTGGCGGCAAAACCAAAGGGGGTAGCCCCGCCGGCCCTCGATCCCGTGATCTCCTTCGCGCCCGCTCCCACGCTCTCTCGTCGTCGCACGCTGACCTTGATCACTGAATCTCCTTGATGAAAGTCCGACGCTGTAACCAATGGTGTTAGGCCGAAAGCAGAGTCCATTACTGACTAACACCTAAATAAACAACTATTGCGTGACACGCAAATCTACTGAAACGTCTTAAAAACCGCGGCGTTGTCGATGTCGTCCTCCGCATGTACGCACAAGTCACAAACAAGGACACCAATCAAGAGGCATAATCTTTTCACTCCTAGTTTAATCAGAAAATACAAATCTGGCCGGTGACCACGCCGACTCTTCAATCATCAACAACAAAAAAATCACGCACGCCTTAAGTCTGTGCGTCCACACACTCTCTACTCTAGTCAATCATCCAGTCAAAGCAAACCATAGACCCAATCGCGCCCCACGCGGTAAACTTAAATTTTAAACCAAACTTATTTTCCGTCACTTGCAAAAAAACAGGGTGGATACCCTTGTAAGGGTATTCGCACCGACACCGTTAACGAGCCACAATTAAATTTCAGGAAACGTACTGCCCACTACAGGAATGCCCAAATTCATCCGACCAGAAACTTTTATGCTCTATTTTTTTTTTTTTTTTCCGCAGCCGATCTCCAGGTCTGGTGGTTTAATTGTCGGGGCACAAATGCGCTTGGTGATGGCAGAAAGAACTTGCTTGGAATCTCCTGCAAAGACTATGGGCACCACCGCACGGCACACACCAAACGAAAAACAAAACGAGTGCATCTTCCCAAAGAAAATCAATAGGTTCATTGGTTTGCTATAAATAGTAACAAGTGTATTTTGCCACCTTTCGTGGGCAGATGCACTCGTTCCGTTTTCGTTTTGTGTGCCGTGTGGTGAGGCGCCAGCCGTATACCAGTCAGCAGCATAAGCCGTGGATTAATAATGATGAGCACATGCAACCTCCTACTGCCTATGGCTCAACAGTCTCCACGTAAGCACTCCCAAGGTAAGCTTCGTCTTCCCCCCGGCCTTGGACTATACCTCATGTCTATACTTTTCACTCATTCACATCTATGGTGCATCAGCACCTCCTATTCTCTCTCTCTCTCTCTCTCTCTACCTACCTACCTACCTACCTACCTACCTACCTACCGAACTACAGCAACACAATCTTTTCTAGTCTTGCCCTGGCTGGGCCTGCCACAGGTATTTCCGTTTTTGTTAAAATAAAAAACAGCCCTCGTGTGTGCTAGTGGTGCTCACGACGACAGACACCACTAGCATCGCGCGGGCGACCCCATCTATTGGTGGGGGGCGTCACATCCTGGAAACTGGGTCCAGCGTCCCATATACACGATTTATACAAGATTTTGAACCTGTATCAGAGATTTCAAAAGCCCTGGGTGATTTCTCAGTCTGAGCAGTTCATATTCAAAAGGCCGGGGGGCGTGGGTGTGTCTTGGCTTATTCCATTTAGGTATTGGAAGCGTGCGAACCTTTGGCTGCTGGACCTGGTATGATCCCTGGGGAAATCTTCATCTCTTCGACCTCCGGACCTGGTATGACCTGACTGATGTATGACGTGGAAGGTTCCTAGAGGCCCCCTGGCTAAGTCAAATCTGTTCCCTGATGCCCGGACCACTGACGTAAAGAGAGGAGGACCATTTTGAGGCCTATCGACAAATTGTTTTCCCCAAAACTTCGATTTCGCCAGAGGCTAGGGCCCAAAGACTATTTCCCATGCTGTCTCTAGACTCTCTGTCCCATTTCATGCCCTGCCAGAGTTCCCTAGGGACTACTGTCACAATTGACCGAGGCCCGTACTGGACCTATAGCACACCAGACTGAGGGCCATTCTAATGAACTCTGGGGTCCGACAGACCTGTTTCAAACAACCAGCCTTGAATCAGGCTTCAGATGCATGTTTTGTGCGTGTGTGTGTGAGATCGTGAACTTGACTCACTTCAGGTGACACCGTAAACCACTAGTACACAGCTTTGCAGTCCGACACTTGTCGCCACAAGAAAACGAGACCGAAACGTCAAACGCTGGGCCCGCTGTTGACAAATTCGATCGGCGGTCGCGTTTTCGTTTCACGCTTCCAGAATTTTAGGTGTCAGGCCCGCGGCCCAGGTGCCCATGTTACTGGTGCTTAAACCCTCAAAACTGTACCTTCCTCGGCCTTTTGGCTACAACTTGTTTTTGCCTTTTGGCTACGATCAAGTATACTATCTTCTGTAATCGGGTTAAACCACCAGTACACGGACTCAGCCTTGCAGCAAAATAACTTGTCGCCACAAGAAGTAAAAGGCTGGCTCGGGGCAGGGTCGGAGCGTCAGAAGGTTTTCAAAATTTTGGGCCCATGTCAAATCCGTTCGTCCCAAAACACAAAACAAGCTTTGGCTGTGATTGCAGTTGGATCCACTTTTTGGAGTACTACCCTCAGTGAGGGCACTTCGGCAGAACGAGGAACACGGGGAGCATCACTGTCACACTTACAAAAAAAGAACCAAAAAAAAAAAGCCCCAAAAAACAAAACAAGCTTAGGCCGTGATTGCAGTTGGATACACTTTTTGGAGTACTGCCCTCAGTGAGGGCACTTGGGCAGAACGAGGAACACGGGGAGCACGACTGTCAGACACAAAAAAAGAACAACAAAAAAAAAGCCAACAAAGCTTCGGCCGTGAAAGTGGTTGGATTATTGGATGCATTTCAACAGCGCTAGTGTGAGTATGCCCTCAGCGAGGGCATTTTGAGCAAGTAAAATATGCGCTGGAAGAGAAAAACAAAAGGAGAAAAAAAAAAAAACAGCAATGTTTTCCTCTCCCCGTAAGATGCATTCTGGAAAGTGATCGCTTGAGTATGGCCTCCGTGACGTCCTTCCACCACATCATTGATCTCTGGCATGTTTTTTCCTTTCTTTTTTTTTTTTTTTTTCCCCTTCAGGTAGACAGCCGGCACCGGTGCCACTTCCGAGATTCCCACTGCAGGTACGCACACGCAAAAGGCTCGGAAAATAGCGGCGCACAGTGGGTAGGTAGCTTCGGGATTTTAGGTGCGGGTGTACTGGTGGTTTAAGGAAAACAAAACAAAAAAAAAAATAGAAGAAAAAAAAAAACAAGCAAGGTCAGTGGTGGATGTGAGTCTTGGTCAACCTTCTCCACCAGCGCCCACTCCACATTGTCGACTTTTTTTTTTTTTTTTTTTTTTTTTGTGATCAGTTGTTGGAGCCCCCTGATCTTCAGATGAAAGCTCTTGCGGTTCCCACAACCCCACGCTCTGTCACTACCTAGAAACGGGCAGCCAGGTACACGTCCACTCTCTTGCCCTTCTTTTTTTTTTTTCGTGTGTGTGTGCTTGTGCAAGGGTTATATGTCAACTCTCTCTTGCCCAGAAACCGGCAGTCCCTGTTTTTTCATTTTCTCTATCATTTAAAAGTGGGAGAACCTGCCATGGTGCAGGCCCAGACTGGAAGTCGGCCTTTTTTAAGGGACGGCTTAAGCAGGGTTCCCAATCTCTACAAGCCTACAACAACCTGGGCTTAAATAAATAAATAAATAAATAAATAAAGAAATAAATAAATAAATAAAACACACAAAAAAAAAACAGGTCACACAAGCCTAAGTTGACAAAGCTACCTTCCAAGGCGTGCAAGCCACCAACTGGGGACATTTCATAGCGGCCATCTGCCTTCACTACCCGCCCAGGCCCGAATCGAAAAGCTCTTCCCATATATATCGTCAAATAGAATATATAATAATGGCAAGAGCCCAACTTAGAGGGCATATTCACACTAGGACATTTTCGACCAAGCTCCGGACCTGATTTCTGGTCAGGTTCATCCACGTGTGGCTGTAATCGAGGTCAAATTACATTCAGGCTTGAAAGGAACTGGCGGTTTAAACCACCAGTACACATAGAAAAGCAAATTGAGCCTCTCCTAGAAAATAGGAGGCCATAAACCACCAATTCATTTTATCGATCGTCCATGGCCTCCAAATTTTTAGGAGAGGCTCAATCTGCTTTTCCAGATGTACTGGTGGTTTAAAGGGTGGAAAAGGAACTGGAAGTATGCTTACCAGATGCGAAGGGGCCATGATCACCAAACAGTCTGTCAATTAGGAAAACAAAAGACCAATCAGTTGGGGATCACAGGAGGGTGCGAAGGTTTATACTGTGTACTGCTAACAATGCTAAGTCCTCATCCTTCCAAATTCCAAAAATCATCAAAAGCTCTGCATTTCATGTAATTCCAACTCTCAACTCATAGCTGTACACTGGGGGACAATTCCTCTCTCTCTCTCTCTCTCTCTCTCTCTCTCTCTCTCTCTCTCTCTCTCTCTCTCTCTCTCTCTCTCTCTCTCTCTCTCTCTCTGTGGGGCCAATCCCCCCGAGTCCCTGCCCCCACCCTC